TCTTTAATAAAAATTATCTATCTATCTATCTATCAGACCTCCTCACAGAATTATTAATAGTACTTTTTGGATATAATAGAACTAAGTCATCAGAACACGGTGGAAAGGCCCCGGAAAGTTCATGAGACAAATCACACAAATCTGCATGAAGTGGAGAATATAGATGGACACCAAACAAAGCAATCTAAGAAGAGAAAAGAACGAAATTGCTAAAAGGAACCTCAAAATCAGTCGAAGTACAAGTAAATGCCAAATAACAGACGGCGGGGAAATAAGGTCTGGTGTTTACTTAAGTTTGACGGATAAGGTGTCTCTAGGGTCTGAGTGAGCACAAACAAAGTTTCGATCGGCTACCGTTAGAAATTCTGAAAAGAGCCACTGGAAGGAATCGCTAAAAACAAAAAGATTGCCATTGGCCCGCTGTATTTGGCATGTTAATTTATTTGGCAAAGATAATAGGCGAGGCCTTTGAAAACCCTATTTACGACATATTCACCAAACCCGAATACCGAAGTGGAGGGATGCAGTGCAGCCCATAATGAAACAGGTCATCTTAGTCAGCGAAGTAAGGGCACAGATTCGTTCGCCACAAATATGCGCAACCCAGCGATGGACATGGATGCTACATGTCCAGTAGCGAACTCGTCGAAAGACCGTCGGACAAGCGGAATTTAGGAAGAAGTGAACGTGGGTGAAAGATCCAAAGACGCATCTGAGATTAAACCACCATATAGTAAGGTCAATGTCATCTACACAGTCTTCAAGAGGGTGTTCGACGGTGTCCAACACAAACGCCTAATTTACAAACTCTGTGAACTGGGGATAAGAGGTTAGCGGATGATATTGATCGCAGATTTTCTTACTGGGTGATCACAAACCGTGTGTGCTGATGCTTCGAAGTCAACTCCTAGCCACGTTCTAAGTGGTGTCCCCCAGGGCTCAGCCTTAGGGCCGTTGCTATTCATATTTTAAATTGACGACTGCGTCGACAACGTGGGATGCAACGTCATCATGCTTGCTGGTGATATTAAGCTGTGGAGAGCCATCAGATCTGATGCAGACAGATACACACTTCAAGACAGTATGAATCGACGGAGGAGTTGGTCGGTTCTTTGCCTCCTCAATTTTAATGTGGACAAGTGTGTGTTCCTGAGACTTCACACCAAAAGAACGAGTAAGGGGGATGATTCTTTTCAATACCTTCTTGATGGACAGCCCCTTCCAACTGCTGAGGAACACAAAGACCTCGGGGTCCTAATGACCCCCCCCCCTAAATCATCGTCACATGGCCGAAGGGCGGTCGCACCCGCGATGGGGTGTTACTTGAGCTAAGGCGAGAATTTGTGCAGATCGATAAAGTGCTGTTCGGAAAAACCTATGGGGCATCCATTCGGCCTCACTTGGGGTATGCCTTCCAAGCCTGGCGGACGTGGTTCAAGAAGGATTATCAACAACTGGATAGAGTGCGGACGATGGCTACGAAGGTGGTCAAGAAGCATGATCATCTGCCTTACAAAACCAGACTGGCTGAACTAAATATGTTCCCTCTTAATTACGGACAAGTGAGTGGCGATCTCATTCAAACCTGCCGGATTTTCAGAGGCCATCAGTGTGCCCTGGACTATTATGGAGTCTTCGAATTGGCTGGGATCGACCGCCCGCGTGGTAATCTCTTTAGACTACAGAGGGAACTGGCCATACAGACGTCCGACAGAACTCCTTCTCGCAGAGGGTCATTGGAGCATGGGACGTACTCCTTGGCGCCGGATCTTTACGAAACTATTAAATCCTATAAGTGCAGACTGGTCGCTCATTTCCTGAGGAACTACTGCACATACAATAACGGTTGTGCTAGTGGCGGCAGTTTGCATTTGACTCACACTTACCGTTAACTCTTGAATTTTCATACCTACTGATGTAATTATTTATTCTATTGCTGTTTGTGGACATGAATAGGGAGCTCTTGGGCGAAAACTTCATGCCCTTAGTAAACTGACTTAGACAGACTTGAAAAGGCTTTTGACCGTCTGTTTAGAACATTTATTCGACCGATTCTAGAGTATGGGAATTCGGCATGGCGTTCCTGAATGAAGCAAGATTTCACAGTCTTGGAGAAGGTTCAGAGAATGGTAATCAAACCGGTCACTGGTTTGAAGAATCCACTTTATGAGGAACACATAGTCATGCTCTCTCTCTCTTAAAGGTTATACAGAGGGGACACGATCATGATCTTCAAACTCATCAGATGAGTACATTTTGTACTTTAATTGCTCAATTTTTTTAACTCGTGTAAACGACAAATCTCTGAGTCAACCGATATAAATTAAAGACAAATTGTGCTAAATGCGAAGTGCGGGCCAAATTAATCTCTCATGGGATGACTCGAGATTGGAACACAATACCTAATTCCGTTGTTCTGGCAGAAAGCATCCAGACATTTTAACGAAGACTTTACAACATTTTATATAATGGCCAAGTATTCACATGATAAGAACTGACAAAATGTACCCGTATATCTACATAAACCTATCCACGTTTTTTAGTCCGTGTCAGTAAATATGGTTCTCAAAGACTCTGCCTACCTAGCTTATGCGATTTGATTGGCACTGAATTACACGTATTCTTGTCCACGCTGTGTTCGTTATCCCATAGATTCTAGCCCTTTCCTGTCAGCTAGGTCGGCTTACTTGAGCATACACATGCGGATATTTAGGCGTTACAAAAATAATGATCACGTCCGCTTTCTGGCATCGTTTTTGAACATCTGTTCTCTGTTTTTTTGCACCCATTAGATGCTACCTGCCTCAAATTTTTTAACGTTTAATTCATTCTTCTAGCGTTTAGGTACTATCGTTTGTTGTTCTGATTATGGACATAAAACCATATGACCAAACCGAATCAATGGTCTCTGTTGAATTCATGTATAGCTAGAATATACAGGATGTGACATATCTCAGGGTAATTTTTGCGCATTACCACAACACTTTAAGTTAATTTACGAAACCAAGGAAAAACAACATTTCAAAATGTCCCGCGTAAGGAAGATTTTCGAAAAAAACCATTTACAAGAAAAGTGATGAGTAAAAGAGAGTTTAGAATAATAATAATAATAATAATAATAATAATAATAATAATAATAATAAGCGGACAAATGACAGTTAAATGCATTTGGCGGGAAGGTCACTTGTCAGTTAATTGGCGAGAAAACAACAAAAAAACGCACAAATTAGCAAACGTAAGAGATTCGGGGCGATAATCTGAGGGAAGCGAAGTACTCACCAGATCGAGGGAATTACTTGGCTGACGTTTTGAAGAGCTTGGGCGGCTCACCGTTATCAAACCGTCTAGTGCAAAGCCGATCGGAATTTTGAATAGACAGCCGAATTAGTTGGCCTTAGGCTGATCGATTTTTTAATTGGGGTTAGTTGCGTTCGTGTCCCCCTTTTTGGTGAATTGGTCGACATGCCGTGTTTGCTTGTTATTCTCAACCTCCATATGACTGTCTTGTCCTCGTCACGGCGTATGCAGTGACATAGGGCTTTATAGGCCACAGGAAGTTCTAGATGTCTCTTGATGGAGCTGACATCTTAGTATCAACCCCGGCCTAAGACGGCTGCTCCTTGAAAGTCAAAAATGTAGTCACTTTCCCCGATGTGAGTCGCAGGCTGTGAGAGTGGGTCAAGTCTCCGGGTTGTCAGTTTGTGCTCATGTAATTGGGTCTGCAATTTCCATCTGGTTTCCGCAAAGTAGTTGCAGTCCCCATCGTTTCAACTTATCTGATAGATAACTACTGAGGTTTCCGTGGGTGGCAGTATGTCTTTGGGTTGCATTACCGGCGATTAATCGTTGCCTGGGGTCGATGGGCAATGCATACCCCAGCGGATTGTACCAGTCCTGAAACGGCCTCGGAGAGTCCTTTAATGTAAAGAATAACACTCCAGACTTCGGGTTGTTTTTCTTGTGACCGTCATCTGTTCACACGGCGCTTGCTTTGCTTGATAAAGTAGCTTGGGAACCGGTTAGCTCGAAAGAGGTCATGAAGGTATTGTCGTTCACTTTTCTCTCGGCTGGTGTGCTGCAGTGTGTTTCAACTCTTTGGAATAGAGTACGGACACAGCTGCGTTTGTCAGAGAGAGGGTGATTGCTGTTGATGTGTAGTATTTGTCTTGTGTTGGTGACTTTTCTGAAAACGGTAATTTGTAATTGCCAAGTTACACGCCGACGCAGAAGACCCTCCAGGAAGGGAAATTGGTTGTTTGTTTCAGCTTCCATCGTGAATTGGATATTGTGGTCAGCCGCGTTTAGTAATTATTTAAGATGCACAGCGTCAGATGATTTGACAATGGCGAAAGTGTCATCGACGTAACGAGCCCAGAACTTTGGTCGACACTTGGTGAACACCAAGTGTTCTATCCGTCGAATGAGCACTTCAGCTATCAGCGGCCTAAAAAGACCTGTGTCACTGCATAAGCCGCGATGAGGCCAAGACAGTCGAACGGAGATTGAGAATAACGAGCAAATACGGCATGTCGACCAATTCCCCAAAAAGGGGACACGAACGCAACTAACCCCAATTGAGGTGACGTCACACAATGCAAGAGGCCACCAGCACTCACGAACGACGGCCGGTAGGCAAAGGCAGCAAAAGAAGAAAAAAATCAATCAGCCTAAGGCCAACTTATTCAGCTGTCTATTCAAAATTTCGATCGGTTTTTGCACTAGACGGTTTGATAGTGGTGATCCGCCCAAGTTCTTCAAGACGTCAGCCAAACAATTGCCTCAATCTGGTGAGCACTTCCCATTGCTCAAACAATAAAACGGCATACGACCATAAAAATTACTTTTCAAAGTGCGCTTCGAAATAAAGCATCACGAGTAAACCGCTCGTTAATTTCCTACTAAAAGCCTATTGCAATTACATTTTTTATTTGACTGGGTTTGATTCCCTTTGTTTATACACGGTGTAAGCACTAGCGCCTCTTTCAAGGATTTTCGGCCCTATGTCGTCTTTCCACACAAAGACAATCGGTCGCATTCTAGACCCCGTTGCTCAACAAGTAAAGGCTTAAAAATTTTGATTGATGAATTATATAGGTTTCTAAATTGATTCTTCTGTTTGATGAAGGCACCACAACTGGGCAAATGCCGGATCTGGCCAATCGCGTCGGTGTTGTCAAAACAGCTGTTAATAATTTGGTTAAGGTATGAGATGTATGAGGTACGAGATTCCCCGTGGTTACAGGTTGGCCATGATACAATTAACGAAAGCACGGACGCACTGCTTAAACGGGATATGCCACCAGCTCTTTTTAGAGTAGAAGAAGCCTCACAATTTCTCCAGGACGCTGTTCAGTTACTAACTTCGGATCCCATATCCCAGCTGGGTCGAAAACGGCTTATTGAAGGCTCCAGAGGTTCGTCCTGTAAAATATTTTAGTCTTCTAGGCATTCTCCAGGGCACGCTGTCTGTGCTTGTTGCGTTTGACCTCTCGGAAGTGAGAAAAATTGTGGAGTACTGCAAGTCGGTTTTGAATATGCTTGGACAAGTAGAGCACATCCGATCTTTTTCCGAACTGGCCGAATTTGTTAAGGTTTTTTAGCTTCTTTAAATAATAATTGCAGAATTTAACTCCATGCATGGCGAGAATGATCAAAGAAGTAGACGAACGTCAACAGGAACTCGTAATTCAGTCTCACGCAGAGCTCCTCGAACGTGGCATTGCGCAAGTCAAGCGGATAACTCCAATTCTGATTTCGTCTATCAAGCTCTTTCTCAACACAACTCAACAAGGTGATTTAACCGAATATCACGTGGCTTTCTCCATATAGTACACTGCGTAGGTAGTGAAGTGCTTTAGCGAATTTGCAGTCAACCGGGTATGCTGAATTTTGTTCACGAGCAAACAGTTGCCACCTGACATTCTAAACACTTAAATGCAGTGCAAACTTTTACTGGCCAATATCTGTATTTACCTCTCTATGCATACGTATGTGGTTCTCAACTTTGTTTATCTGTATTAGTAGGTCAGATATTGTTATTTTTAATAGTATTTAGAATCGCTTAGTTCTTGCTTTAATGCCTTGCTTTGTTTCAGGACTGATACCTCTACGTAATTAGCAGTTTGTTATACGACTCCTTGCCGATTTCATCACTCCATTTTAGGGTTACCTGCGGCTCGCGAGGCCCAGTTGAACCGGGATTACTTTTTGCACCAGATGTCCGATGAAATACAGGAAATAATTCGTGGCCTCCAGTTAACGAGCGCAGACGACATCGACTGGCAGTGTGGTGAGCATGCAGGACTTCGATCTGCCAAGAATCTTATCGGGCGGCTAGCGAAATATGCAAGTGCATGGTTAACGGATCCATTGGTAATCAAACCATCCTGCTATTCAAATTCGATGTGCTCATTTGTTTGCTCTAATTTGTCCTTTGATAGAAACCAGATTAAGGTTAAATTTTTAAATCCTTGATGGATAATGCCGAAACGCTTTATGACATTCGAAGTGTCGATGCCTTTATTGAAAAAAAGCTAACGCACGATCATTCTGATAAAATTTGCTTTATGAAACCACCCGTCTGCCAGTTTTCCACCTTGAATCTATTCAGTTTTATTACCCGATAGAGTCCGAGACTTCAAAGTGGGTGAAGTACGGAGCGGTCGTAATCATGTAACTTTACGTATTAAGAACCATGAAATTAGAACCGTGGGTTAACGTGGGTGCAGATTTTGCCCACCTAAGGAATATATGTTAATCACCTCAGTTTATTCCAGGATACAAAAACAAGACGGATCAGAAAATATGCTTGACAGTCGATGTATAGCATTATCTAAACTAATCCAAACCAAAATCGAGCCGGACATGACTGTCGGCCGACCCATCCTTTCGGTTTCACTCAACCGGCTGGACTCTCCGTTATATTTTGACGAATCTCGATACAGCACTTGATTTTAGCGTCATAGTATGCTACCGATGGGTCACTCAGGCATTCCGTTTGAACTTTACTATATGCTAAAGATGTAAGAGCACGGCCGCTTTTTAAAAGATGGATTAAATTAATTCAGAATATAGAAGTATTTCGAAAAGGCAAATAGTACCGGACGTTTAAGTACGTTTTACCAGTCTTCTAGGCTTCACAAAGTGTTTGAAGTCTTTGACATGACGATTAAATCAGAGAGTATTAAAGACACGTTCTTTCATGTGCGATGATCTCAATGCACGCTATTGGGCTTTTCGCGTTCTGTACACGTTGTTTCGAAGAGTCATACCCATTTGCCTTGGCAAAGATGATCGATAGCCGCAGAATGTCAGCATTGACCACTATTTTAATAGTTTATGGACTCGGTGGACCAGTACGCACACCGTCTTATTGCTACCGGTACTTCACCTCACATTGCATGTATCAAGTATAGAGATAAAGTGTCTCCCAACTTATTACGACTCCACAAGCTTTTTGGCACTTGCGCTTCAGTTGACTTGAAGTTGATACAGTGAACCCCCACCTCCATCCAATCCTATGAGTGTGTTTGAGCCTAGTCTGTGTATTTTTACCTTCATATAGATCAAAAATTTTAGGTTCTTGCCTTGTTTAAAAACCTTTGATGAATATTATCAGACAATTTATCGTTGCGCATATTTTCTGACGAATATGCTTTATAATTCAAGGCTGTGATACTTCTTTCCCCGCAGGCTTAGTGTAAAGTTTTTCCTCGAATCTCCAGTATGTTCAACTGAGTTTTTTAAGACAGGATTTACAGGAAATATTTCAATATTTTCACCTATTTAATTGCACACTCGAATCGTGGTCTACGTTAACACATTTAATAGTTTGAAGATGCTCTACACTGGTAGGATCTATCCACATACGTCATTTATAGTAGATGGCGTATCTCATGAAGCGTTAGCAGCAATTCCAAAACGTACTTTTATTAGAAAGGATTACTTAGGTGGGATTCATACTGACCCAACTTTTAAAAACTCGGTGCCTCGATGGGATTCGAACCCACGACAGCAAGGCGAAGGCCTTAGTACAGCCAACGCTCAAGCCACCTGAACTACGAGGCCTTGCCGGAAGACGTGAGTTTAATCACATTTGGGTCAGACATCTATGAATTACGTGAGCCTGGTAATTATCTGGTGGCTTCTAGGGGAATTACTTAGGAAATCCTGCTTGGGCAGTCAGCTTACTGTATCAGATTTGGTGGATTCCAGACGTTGCAGTAGGCTGGGCGGGCAACTTGACCCAAATATGATTAAGCTTACGTCTTCCGTTGGAGCCTCGTAGCTCAGGTGGCTGGAGCGTTGGCTGTTCCAAAGTCTTACCGTTGTTGTCGTGGGTTCGAATCCCATCTAGGCGCCGAGTTTTTCACAGTTGGGTCAGTATGAATTTTCCAACATTTGCCAAAACATCTATGAATTGGGTAATATTGTAATATTTATTATCGGCGTATTCTCAAGATACTTCAGTTATGCCTGAATTTGAATACATCGTTCTCCGACCTGCTAAAATCACAGGAGGTTAAAGGTGACTACTTAATTAGTATGTTTTTGATTGACTTTCATTGCCCTTGTAAATGTCTATATATTTCACGGAAAACACGTGCAAAATAGCCTTCCGTGCGCTCGTTTGGTGGAACATTGCGTCCCCAATTTTTTTCTATTCAAAATAAAATAGCTTTGGGTTTTGGGAGTTTGTACTTATGAGATTTTTACGATCGTAAAATGTCCTTTCAAATAGCATTGTGTCTGTCCGTTTATTAGTACACACTATGAAGTGTTTAGAATCAGTGTAAAATTTAAGGGCTCCGTATGGTATCTTCTGAATAGCAAACATAAATGTATGATTCTTTTTATATGGAAAATGTACAGTTGGTAGTTTAGGAACCCTAAGCGCAAGTGCAGCGGCTGCTCGAATTTTAAATTATTCGGGAACTGAAAAAACCTCTCCAGAAGCGAAAGAGATCCTTCCTTCGAATATAAAACCCAAAGGCGTAGTTTACCGCTAAGTGACCGTAAGCAGGAGTATTTAGTGCATGTTTTCTATGAGATATCTTCAGACTATCAAGTATGGCAAACTCAAGTTTCCTGCTGTATTTGTCTTTTGTTTATTGCCAGGCTTTAGCCTGTGGCATCACCTCCTGGCCGGATGCCTCGGTGAGTAAAACGGTAGGACGAACAAATTAACTGATCGCACGTTAGTGTACATTTGTGCGGTGCATGGATTTGGTAGCCGGTCATAAACTTACGTGCAGGCAGTTATACAAACCCATGAACGAACCGCGAGCCTCTGGACAGGGGCAATTTTGCCAAACTTTTCTGTCTCAGCTTAAATCTCTTTGTTTTGACTGTTGAACCACCTACTGTAGGCTAAAGTATAAGTAATTAAAAACCCCTTTGGGAGGGATTTTCACCTTCGCACTTAGAAAATCTGTCACGCTCTTAACAAGCCAGCGTGCGGACCTCACGTTTCTGACCCTTGTTCCATTTTTTGTTCTAGAACTAAGTGTGTGTTACAGGGTGTGTGACTCTCGGATTTCCTATTTTGTATAACGTCAAGGCATAAGGTTAAAGAAATTTCAGTCGAATCCGACCGAAATCATACCGAATTACGCGGCCACTGACCCTCCAGTTTCCCTAGTCCGGCACTGTGTATTTTTCTCATTAGATTTTCCATCTTTTGCCCCTTAAAAAGTATGATCAATTTCTACATACGCCTGAAAACCGCCAAGCGCTACGTACGGCGGAGTTTCCACTATCGTGCTCTGTTGGGGCCGACGCCTTCATGACTATTTAAACCTTCAGTTTAGTTTTTATTTGGTTTCTTCCTGTACGTAATTAGCAAAATCGCCGAGCAAAACTTCAGAAATGAAGGCTTGGTTGCATATCTGAGGCAGAGTTTTTCTACTGGTTGACTGTCTAATCCACTGCCCGTTTCATGCATGGCATTGTATCACCTGGCCAGAGATTAACACAAAGTATCCTCCACTTTTGGCGTCGTCGATTTAAACGTTTCTTTCGGATCCCATAGTTCTACCGATGTACGTACGAACTCTGTTAGAGATCGGCTCACCCCATATATTTCCCACTCTTCATTAAATGTATCGAAAGCCTAGGTAAGAATTATTTTTAAATTTGCGCACTATTTGAAAATCTGGAACTCACGACTCAGAGAGCTTTCGTCATGGGACGAACTCCAGCCGCCGACCACTCGAATTCCGATCCAGTGTCGCCCCATCTGACCAACCAGTGGGTCATCGTTGACTCTGTGGAGTTTAATACGCATTTTTTTGTCAGCACTTAAATAGGCAAAGGTAAATCGCAGTGTTTGCACCGCCACAAAAATGCGATAAGGCCACAAACCAACCCTCCGGCCTAGCGCCGTACACTATGCTTCCAACTTTTTGCCACGGTGCCGTCTAGCTGGCGGGATTAGTCGATATTCCTCTCCGAACATGCATGTACAAGCCTACTTTGTATTGTCAGTTCCTACTGCATGAGACTGCTGCCTTCTATACGGGTTGCGCCGATTTTGCTTCAAAACAAAACGGGTACTGGATTGATCCAAAGCATGCGGTTGTGTGGAGTCCGGTTATGTCTCTGATTACTGTCGTACCTTCTTTTTGCACGCACTAGACGCGTGAAGTTAGGAACTAGCTGGCGTGTGGCACGCGTAGACGGACCGTCTGGTTCTGTCAGCCGCCGCGTCCATTCCTGTTTGCGGCCGTCTCATATGTCCTACCATAGAAGCACGGTGGGTTTGGGAACGGAGATTGAAGTAGGTACTGCGTTAGTTAATTTCACTACAAAGAAATCCGCGTACAGGTCATCATGGGGCCCTCGAGCCAGTAGTGGACATCGTAGGTTGCGTCAGTCGGACTATGTTAGACCGCGCGATTTTCCAACTCGAATTCTCATTTTGAAGGTCAATTTGTTATGATGGTTAATTTAATGGACTATTCTATCCTGAAAGTTCACTCGCCCTTTGGTTTTCCGGAGTCTCTGCCGTAGTGGTTGTAAAACTTCTACTCATTTTTCTCCTTTTGAAGGCACTGAATGCTTCCTCTGGCGAAAAGGCCATTTGTCAGATTTTGGACGCTGCCCGTAGATTTGAAACCCTGTGCTTATCGGACGCCGAACGTAATGGCCTGGCTGGTCTCATAAGGGCGCTTCATAGTGAAGTTGACGATCTTGTTGCTGCGCATCAGCGAGTATGTCCTAAATTTTTCTCCTCTTTTTGCCATTTTTCTCGTTTTGCCTGCATTAGCGATAGCATAGGAACTAATACTCACACTTAATTCTTTTCAAAATAGGAACTGCAGACTTCAGATCTGGCTGTGGAACAGTTACCTCTTTTCTCCCTTTATCGTCTTCCATGCCTTAGCCTGCATCTTGATATCTTGAAATTTTACCTACCCCACAAAGCCCTTTTTAAAGTCATCCGCCTCTCGGTGTCTGCGCAACCAGGTGAACAATTACCCGTCTTATGACTTCTGTGTGGACATCGCCCTACATTTCAAACTCTCGAGAGCTCCTATAGTATTAAAAACGCCACAAACTGGACTGCCTTTTCCAACAACTAAAGTAGTTGCAACTAGCTCTTGTGGAAACACTGATGGACATCAGGGAAAAACACGCCGGCGAACAACCTAATGCAAACACGAGCTCCGATCAGTATAACAAAAGGAACTTTGTATTTTTCGGAACGACTAACTTCTTTGCCTTGGGATGCAGTTAAAATGGTTCTTCTGCCCCTCCCTGA